ACAAGCCATAACAACGAACTCGGGCGGAGCGAAGACGCAAATCAACACGCTGTAAAATATGGCGAAAATCCCGCCGGAATTCCGTTTTTACACTTCACCTGAACGTCATTGAACGCTGCCTTCACTGTGAGTTTGTTAACGAGGTAAGCTAGCTTAAGAAGCATTTTTGTTTAAAATATTTCTTTAAAATATTTTGGCTGGTGTATACTTGAAAAAATAGAGGTTTCGGAGATATTAAGCATAAAGTTTGAACGTTGGGGTTTAATTTTTATTGTGTGCCACTCAGTGAAAGTAACCAGTTAGCTAATTAGCACTAGGTTTAGGCTATTTTATGCTTTATGCTATCAAACAGACAAAACACAGGTGGATCAGGATGCTAGAGAAAACAAAAGGATAAATGAAAACTTTTCAGCATGTCATGAGAAAAACTTTTTATCCATCGGTCAGTAACATTAATAAATTTCCATTAACATTAATTTGCAAATGACAAATTTCTCATTACAGCATATTTCTGCCACAAATATGAAATGACAAAGATAAGAATTATTGATTCTTAGCAGGGTTATATTTTTTATCGACATATTGGTACTCAAAGCTTCCAAAACTTTGAGTAAAATTTATTAATACCGAATAACAAGAGAGAGACTTTGGTGTTTTTGTCTTAATGTTCATTTATTTCAAATTTGTGAGTTTTCCCAACATTTATTGGTTCTTAACCTTAAAAAGGTAAGTATGAAATGAAGATCACTGACTGAGACCTATTATTACTTGTTTTTTTGTTTGTTTGTTTGTTTTCTTCTTCATCTAGCACTAAAGCATATACTAGACAGAATATATACTGTTTTTTTGCTCAATAGACAATTAGCAAATGTCGAGCGTAAACACTGTGACGTCATGTGCTTTCCCATAAAATCTCAGTTTGCACTTATTGGTTAATTAGTTTTGCTGAGACTTACCATGTGTTGTGGTTATTTAAACCATGTTTGTCCATTTTCTCACATTGCCATTATGAAATTGAATGACATAATCAGGATATAAACATTTTAAGATTAAAATCAAAAACCTTAAACAAATTTAATTAATTAGTAAAACCAAGTGGACCCAAACCATACCATCAAATTGAAAAGTCACTGGATCCCACAGGCTTCAAGTTATCCCCCTAATACCGTATTTTTCAGACTTAAAGACGCACTTAAAATCCTTTAATTTTCTCAAAAATCGACGGTGAGCCTTATAATCCTGTGTGCCTTATGTATTAATTCTGGTTGTGCTTACTGAGCTCGAATCAATTTTATGTGGAACATGATGCTCAAAAAAATCTGTCAAAATGCAATTGTTTTGCTTAATTCGTCTAATTTTTTTCTGGATGTAAATCACATTTTTTGGATGATTGTTTCCTCTGGTATCGGATGCTGTGCAGCTGGAAGGATTTTTACTGAAACATTTTTAGTTTTGGACATTTGTTATGATGCGTAACCATGGCAACAAGGCAGTTTCTACAACCAACAGCAGCTGATTAACATCTCAAAAGCTCAAGTAATATCTCAACTACAGCCCTAAATTTCAAATGAGTTGAAAAGGATGTTCTGTGGACGCATTTTCATCTACCTGCCAGCTGTGCTCGAGTCCCTGACCACTGAGATCCTGGAACTAGCAGGAAACACGGCTCATGACAGCAGAAGGACAGGATCGTCCATCAGCACCTACAGTTGGCTGTCCGCAGCGATGAGGAGCTCAACAAGCTGCTGGGAGGAGTGGCCATTGCCCTGGGAGGATTTCTGCCCAACATTCAGGTGGTCCTGAAGCCCAGGAGGCCAACCAAGTGCAAGTAAACGGATCAACATCTGTGGCCAGTTTTTTCAGATCTGCTATAAGACGGACCATCACAAGAGATCCTTCCCGCCCACAACCATCAACATCTAGAACAACTCTTTTATGAAACAAGGAAAATGAGCTACAACAACATTTAATTTCCCTCTGGGATTAATAAAGTATTTTTGAATTGAATTGAATTGAAATCCGGTGCACCTTATGTATGAAAACAGACTCATTCATTAATGTTGGGCCTTATAATCTCGTGCACCTTAATGTCTGAAAAATACGATATGTACCTTTTCAGTCTTCTTGTTGAATAGTGATTTAATTAGTCATATGAAGGTATTCATTATTTTATTCAGTTAACAGTTCAGTAGACGTAATCTGACAGCTCATTACAGCTCAAAATTTAAACTTGCACATTTGTCCAAAAAAAAAAAAAAAAAAAAAATCCAAGTAATCTTTTAAACAAGGCAACATAAGTGACATGTATTTCACAACTTCCTGACAAAATTCAAACTAGAGTTCATCCAGCGGGCATGTTCACATGACTAATAAGTAAACAGTGTCACTACTTAGTCCATCAAGGAGCATTCTTACATTTTAGGGAACTTTATAAATTTAGCTGTTTAAAATATGTTTCAGTTGCTTCATATATTAAACAAATAAATAATGGCCAATGTAATAGGATGAAAAATTCCCAATAAATGAATTAAATTCCTAATTAGTTTGGTCCTGACTGCTACCAGATGTAAATGGTTGATGGAACATGAGTCCAACCTAATGTGCAAAGTATGTCCTATCTTTTACTTAACAGAGTATTTTCCAGGTTGTAATGATACATTTTATACCTCTGCAAGTTTTTAATCTATAATCATCCATATTATAAGGCACAAATCCATCCATCTATCTTCATTACTCCCTTTTCCTTTCTGGGTCATGGGGGAGCTGGTGCCCATCTCCAGCATTCCCTGCAAGAGGGGGGTACACCCTGGGGTAGGTTGCAAGTTCATCACAGTAAGGGACAAATGCCCTCATAAATTGTATTTATTCCTCAACGCTGGTCTCAGAGCTGTATATGTGTCCTATCTCTGCCATTAGATACAGTAAACAAAGTTATGAGCTTTCTTCTGTTGATCGGTCCCACAACACTTGACTTGTCTTTATAGATTTGCTTGACTTACTTAGCAGTGGGTTCTTGACCTGCAGTGGTTGCAAGGGCTTATGCTGGGAATCTGGTTGAGCTGCAAGGTCACAGTCTTTGTGGGTTTCCCACTCACTATTGTCTATATCCACACTTATAGACTTGCAGCAAGACTTGTTTGTGTCTTGTGAGCCAGACTTCACAGTGTAGTGATTTTCATCTGTGTGTTGTTCACTGTTCAAATCACTCTTGGAAGTGCTATTTTGACCATGGTTCTCATGATTGGATTCTGTGTGACTATTTGCATTGTCCAAACAAACTTTAGGGCTTGGGCTTTGTTCATCGGGCTCCGAACAACTTTGTTCATGAGGTACAGCAGCCTTGTCCTGGTTGTGAGTGTGGTTTTGGTTGTGATTCTTCCAGAAAGCTCTAGAGAGTTGCTCTAGCTCAGAAAGCAGTGGGAGGTTGATGTCCAGGTGCATGAACAGGTTGGCCAACCACTCCTCCAACTTTGAAAAGGGTGGACTAAAAAGTAAAGAATATTGTTGGTTATTGCATGAAGTATCAACATATGGGTGTAGTTGTTTATTTTGTATTAGGTTGCTTGTAATACAGTCTCTTGTCCAAAATAAATGATGTTAATACTCTATCTGTGGTGATAAAACTAAAATAATCATACCACCACAACACCCTGGCATGAATGGACAAAATCGAATTATGTCTACTGAGTCACATAAATATGCCCCAAATTTTAGAATCGGTTGGACTTGGTGCAATTTTCTAATTCTAACACATGAACAATATTAAACAATTACTTGGTTTTGTGGCTTCAGGTAGGTGATCTTAATTAACTGATTGCTAATAATTAACATGTACGTTTAAAGTCATGTTTTTTTGAAGCATTTTTTTGTGCCATCATACCGTTTTTCAGCATCCATGTCACAGCAGAGGACCGCCAATGGCAAAAAGGCAGAGGGACAGTCAGGAGGGTGGTACTGCTGCAGGAAACTTGTTACATTTAGTCCAAAGTCATTTGACCGAGGAAGATAGTCGGGATCTGCACTCACTCTACCAATAATCTGAAGAAACATAAAAGAGATTTTTACTGTTTTCCAGTAAGCGTTTGATTGACAATAAAGTAGACATTTTAAAAAGTTTTTGAGGTTCTTTTTTTTTTTTGTTTGTTTTGATGTTCTTACCTCACATATCATAATCCCAAAGGAAAATATGTCCACCCGCTCATCATAGCTTTTCCCTGAGAAGTGAAAACATAAAAACATGTAAAGCATAAATTTACTAATGAAAACTTTTTTTACAAATAGAATTTTACAAACTCCCATCGTGCCATTAGAGTTCTTAATTCAAAACATTTCTGCTAACTTTACTGCTAAAAACCCTTGAAACTCACCATGGATCATCTCAGGGGCCATCCAGTAGGGGTTTCCTACCACAGTATATCGTTTCCTCCGGTCATGTTTACGCAACTCTGACATTGTCCCCTTTTGAGATCGTTCCAGAGAAGATGTTTTGCTCTGATTTCTTTCCTCCATCACCAGTCTGGCAAGTCCAAAATCTGCCACCACCACAGACTGGTTCTAAAGCAAACAGACTTAAGAAAGTTAGGTATATTCAACAAAACTTTTGTCATTTGCTTATCATTCAAAGCATAGATCACATCTCAATAAACATCAGTGCTTAAAATTTGTATGTAATTTTAATTAGAGCAAATCTCTTAATTTATCCATTAAGTATTTTGTGTGTTTCATTTGGCCACTTGCTTACCTCTCTGACCAAACAGTTGTATGAGTTTAGATCTCTGTGGATGACATTCATGGAGTGTAGATAAGCCTTTAAGGGAAATTAATATTTATATTATCAACTGTATCTTCAGTTTAGTAAAAAATATTTACAGCATGATTTATCTTTTGGCTTATAGTATATTATATTATTTAAAAAATCCTTACCATTCCAGCTGCAATGTCTTTGGCATAACCGACTTTTATACTCCAAGGAAAACCCTCATCCTGCACATGATTACAACCAGATCACTTTGTTTGTGAGTTCTGTCAATACTAATGGTGATAGAATAAAAACAAATTTTAACTCACCATTTTTATGATAGTCTCTCGAAGAGTACCTCCCTGGATGTATTCAGAGACAAAATGAATTCTTTTGTCTTTATAAAATAATCCAATAAACTTGAGTACGTTGGGATGGTCAAGACAACGCATTACTTTCACCTGTAAGGATTTAAGGGAATTTGGTGAAATAAATACTAGATTTATTGTTTTTGTAAATCTGTTGCATACTTCAGTATGAGTTTGTTTTGATGCTTTAACAATCTTCATATTTTTCCTGTTTTGACTACCACTTACCTCCTTTAAGAATGTCTTTTGTGTTTCTTCATCAAAACGTATGAGTTCTTTCATCACCATCACCTCCCCCGTCTCTTGATGCGTTACCTTGACGGTGAAAAGTGTCGTCACTGTGCTGATTTAACCCAGCCTTCAACATAACCGACAGACCTTTGACAATGTCAAACATTAAGAAATGAGAGCTTCACAGTGAAGACTGAGAGCATCTGCAGTACCTTGACAGCTTGTCCAAAGCAACCTTTTCCCAGGACTTCTCCATGAATGAGATCTGAGGGTCTGAAGATGCGATGTGTGCGTTCCCCTGTGTCTACTCGAAGAGACTCTGAGCGAACCATGTCTCTCCTTTGAGAAATAAGTGACAACGCTCCAGGAGACAGAGGACACTTGTCTATACTACAACTCCGCCTGAGAAAGAAATTACAAATTGGACAAAAATAAAGAGAAGTACATTGATTTATACATCTGACAGCACCTACCAAATGTGCCTGGATCGAATCCCTGGGCTTCCTTGGTGTTGAGTTGGTGAGAGGCTTATCCTTTGTTCATCTGTTTCCTCTCTTGTACATGGCTCTTCCTCCAGACTCGGGAGCTTTGGGGTTGAAGTAAGTTTGTCGTGGCCACAAGAGTCAGGACAGTTAATGCTAACTGGGGAACTCTCTGACTGAAGAGGAGACTGTGGGTTGTGTTCAATGGTCATCTGAAGTGGTCTGCTTGTGTCCTGGACAACACGCTTTATCTAAACAAAAGAATACAATGTTTGCTTTGACAGCAGATTATTTTGAACTAAATGACTGCAACCTCTTGTATTCATGATACCTCTTCTGGAGAAATGTTGCCTACAGGGATTCCGTTGATCTCCAATACTCGGTCACCAACTTGGATAGAAGAGAGCAGGTCAGGGCTGACGACAGGGGAGTCTAAACTGAAGCAGAGTAAAAAAATATTGAATGGGTGCAGAACAGGTAGTGTAGGACATAATAGGAAAACAAACAAGCAAAACAACTTAAGGCAGGCTGAAGGTCAGCACACACACAAGTGCTAAATGCAGATGCAAGTCTAAATTATTTGAAACCCTTCACTCATACATGAAGTCCAGAGACTCACTTTGTCACAGTGACAAGAGGTTTTGTGTCTTGGTTGAAGTCCGTGGCAACAGTCAGACCTCGTTGGCCTGTTGCAGTGGGAGGGAGAGTCACCAATGCAACCATGTGGGGCCTCTTGGTAAGGGATATTGATCTCACAGCCGGCACAACACCCTGACAGAAACAGTGGCCACTGAAATGACAAAATAATGTGCATCCACCAGTAAAATAGATCTGTATGAGAAAACTTATTTGTACGTTTTAACCGTTCTGTTATGAACTCACCAGTAAAGTCTAGAGCGGTCAATAAGCGTGTATGTATCTCCGTCTCCAATGACCATTTCACAGCTCATGCAAATGAAGCACTCAGTATGGTACTTTTGCTTTCCTGCAACCTAAATATAAAGAAAAAAATGTATTGTTAAACAATAAATACTGTAGATTTAGGAAGACTGATTGTTTTATTTGAATTCTTCTATTCTATTTTGAATTATTTTGGTGTGTCCACGCACAAAAGATGTTTTCTAAAGATAGCCTCAGAATGTGTTTTAAAATAAACAAAAAGCCCTTGCTTTCCTATAAGAAGGAAACCAAGAGGAAGGCTTTGAAGGTATTAGTAGTTGATAGCAAGCTGAGATGTGGTAATCTTCATTGTTGTTGAAGAATATCACATTTCAGCATGAGTCTATAATAGAAACAATGTTGTGTTTTTACTGTGGTCATTAACAGCACATGTTTTGTGTCATTTCAAATTTTTCAAGTTTTTCTTTGTTGCCCTTTGTGAGGGCACTTTCCTATTGAACAACGGGTGCTCTGAGTAATCAATAAGCCAGCTATTTTTAAAATAGCTTACAATCTGTCAATCAATTTGTTCCGTTCTGAATGCAAAATGCTTTGAAGCAAGTGAACTAGACTTGCGGTGTTGTGTCTAAAACTAAAATGTATTTAGATGCACAAACGAGATCGGGCCATGGGTGTGGTGAGGGGAGTATCATTGTTCTATTTTTTTGCTTGTGTACAGCACTAACTCAAGAAAAAAAAAAAACTGGGTCAAACAGCTCTTGTCTTATTATCATGTTACCATAATGAGTCCTGTTGTAATGGTTTCCTTGCAGCCGTGGCAGTGCTCTCCGAAACGGGACCAGTAGTGCTTTTTACAGTAAAGCTGTCCCTCTCTTTCATAGTACCAGTGAGACAGGATGCACCCACATTCATAACACCTACGCAGAATAGGAAGCAGGAAAAAGGGAAAGAACAAAGAGATAACAAAAAATCATTCAGAATATGCTGCTAATCAGGGATGGCTTACGTTACACCCATTGAAGCTTGGTCAACAATAGAAAAGATGCCAGGAAAGCTGACCCATGATCTAAAAGATTCATGGTCAAAGAAAGGTTGCTGTGTTTATCTTCTATGACAGAATGTAGTAAACGTTAGGTGTTGGTTTGTGAATTGTTGACAGATTTGTCAATACTCCTTTAGACAAGTATTTTAGAAGATACTGTCACGGATTATTTTTCTCCTTTCTCAATGAAGGTTTGTGGCATAGTTTGTAAGTTTACACAAGTTTGCAGCATCCTTGGGTTAGACATCACTTCTCTCTAGTGAACAGATGGACAGATCTCAGCTCATGGTTTAAAGATGCAGCGTTTAAAGTAATCTTGTTTGTGATTTAAAGAATGCATTCTTAGTTTGGTTCTGCCAGAACAACCACACAACTAGTTATTTTTACTAATAAAGCTTAGGACTGTATTTGACCCCACATAAAAGCACTGCAATTCAACATTGAAGGTGTTCAATATCAACTTTATTTTCAGTCAGTCCAAAATTCAGTTTAAAACATTGTTTTTGTTAATTATTTTTAGGCTTTTTGTTTTCATTTAGAACACCAGTGATCAGACAGAGACTATTGTATGTTTGCCCTCTTGTATTTTGTCGGTGCATACATTATATGATCTGTATGGTGAAGCAATACCTTATTGTTCTTAATTTCCTCATGCATGCTCAATAATCCAGGTAAATGGACTGTACTTATATAGTGCCTTTCTATCTTATTTCAAGATACTCAAAGTGCTTTACACTACAATCTGTGCCTCATTTACCCATTCATACAGCACTATACTAGATCTCTACAAAGCTAATTGAACAAATCATTCTAAAGAGACTAATCAGAGCTTTAGATCACATTCATACACTGATGGGACACACATCAGAGGCTATGAGGGGTTCAGTGTCTTGCCCAGGGACACTTCAGCATGTGACTGCTGGTGGATTCGAACCCCCAACTCTCGCATTGGAGGACGACTGCTCTAACCACTCAGCCACAGCTGCCCCTTGGTAGATAAATCCAACAAGGTTAAGTCAAGTCCTCTGGACGGATTCTTCTTTGTTGATATGTTTTGTCTTTTATCCAAAAGTCTTCTTCAGTTTCAATCTGTCCAGAGGACCTGACTTAATCTTGTTAGATTTACTGTTCTTAGTTTTATATTTTTCACATTTCACAAAATTGTTCACAATAAACAAGAAACTATTTTGGCCACTGCATCCTCCTGCAGCCTTCCCTGTTTATGTGCTGTGGAGAGGTGAGGTGTCTACAGGCATGCACAAATGACATTTAACACAAAGTTTAAAAATGAACAATCTAAACAATTGTCGGATCTTGGGAGAACAATTTTCAGTGCATTTTGTTGGCAAACTCATGACTAGAACTGCATAAAATATACAACCACCCAAAGAATTCAAGTCTTATCAACACAGAGAGGAAGCAAGCTAACATTATCTAATAACTTCAGCAAACTCCTCCACATGCAAACAGGTCACCAGGAGCAACGCCAAATATTCTGGTTTAAAAAAATATTAAAGCTACACCTGTTGTCGCTGAAGCAGACATTCGAAACCAGTGGATCTGTGTTAAAGCAGCTGAAAGTTTTCAAGTGGATATTTCTAAGAAATAAAATAAAAAACCAATTGTCAACAAAAGAACAGATGCAAAAACCTTCAACGTCCTGTTTATCACCAACAGGGAGTGAAAAAGAGAATTATAACACAGTTCAGTACTTTTACCTTTTTTTAAATAAAATACTTTTATAGTATAGAATGGATTTCAAGTTAATCAGTGGAGCACTTTTATTTTACAAAAGTATTGACTGTTTCTTTTCTCTTGTTTAAAACAAGGTAAGACATTTTACATATAAATGACTCACACTCAGGTTTTTAGACACTTTGTTCAAACTGAACTCGTCTGGTGCACATTTTGTATTGTTGCTTATTGCATTGTTGAAATGTTTTAAACCAACAGGTAAGAAGACATTATGCCATAAAACAGGAAATTAGAGAAAATATTTACAAATGACAAAAATTGGAAATGAGGTAAAAAATATCCATCCAGTCATACATTCATCATCCATCCACACATTCATCCATTCCATCCCTCCACTCATCATCCATCCATCTATCCATCATCCACCTACCCATCCATCTATCCATCCATCCATCATCATCCATCCCTTCACACATCATCCATCCATCCATCCATCCATCCATCCATCCATCCATCCATC